CAAAGCCTTGGGGGATCAGTATTACATGATCCTCTACCAAGGCTCCTGTTTTCCAGCTGGTGCCAGGCATCTTGTTCTGACCATTGTAGAAACCAACCTTTGGGTTTTGACACAGTATTTTGCCACAGTGAGAGTGAGAAATGGAGAGAGTGTGGATGAAAGAGGCACTGTCTTCCTCATCACACACTCTGAAAAAGTGTGTTAGAACTGAGGGACCCTAGAGAAATGTTTGACCAATTCATTCATTCATTCCCCAAACATTTGCCAAAGCTCTGTGTTAGTCACTGGGATGCAGGAATGCAAATTTTCCAGAATCCAGAATGTTTCTTATCATTAACTGATAAGGTCGAATTTATCAAAGTTGAAATATCATAGCTTTTTATCTATCTGTGAACGTTTCATGGGAGTTCAAAATAAAAAGCCATTACATCTGGAGTCCCTAGGTGGTGCAAGCAATGAAAGCATTTGGCTGATAACCAGAAGATTGGAGGTTTGAGTCCATCCAGAGGTGTTGTGGATGAAAGGTCTGATGTTCTACTTCTGGAAAATCAACTATTGAAAATGCTATAGAGAACGGTTCTATTCTGAAACACATGGGGTCACCCTGGTCAGATTTGACTCAATGGCAACTGTGTGTGTGTGTTTAGAACAAGTGAAATTGGGAGGAGAGGGGACTTTACCAGGTAGTGGACATGGAACGACCCAAGAAATGAAAGGAAATAGAACATTTACTGGATGGTGTAGGGGTAGGGAAATAGGGCACGAGGTCCATAGAAGTGAAATAAAGATGAGAACAATAAAGTGTGTTTTTAGTCCCAGAAATTAGGAGGTCATTGATAATCTTATCCATTTCACTGAAAGAGTAGAGTCAGCCTAAGTGAAACATGAGGGCAAAAGAACAAAGACTAGGTCTTTCAAGAAGTTTGATGATGAATAAGAGAGAGACAAGTTAGACATTTGATTGCAATGCTAAGTAAAGGAAAAAATGTTTAGGATAAAAACATGAGGTTTTTGTTTATTTCTTTTTATTGTTGTTGTTTGTCTGGAAAAGGGGCAAGGGCCAGGAGAGAGGAAAGTTGTTATGTTAGGCTGGGTTCTCTAGAGAAACAAAACCAGTAAAGCTTATACAGAGAGAGATAAAGAGAAATTTATCTTAGGAAAATGGCTCACACACTTAAAGAAGTTAGAAAGTCCCAAGTTCTTGGATCAAATGTCAAGCTGAAGGCTTTTCTCGACTCACACAGCTGCAGGGGCTGAGGAGCTCAAGGTTGGCAGGAAGTGTACTGGCTGTTGACTCCTCCAGCAATTGACGAATCCAAGATCTCCAGGCCGAATGGTGAATTATTCACTCACGGACAGTTGTAGGCAGCACAACAGAATTCTGATCCACAGAAAAGTGTCTCTTTTCCCAGGATGGCCATAAATATAATGGAAGCAGACCACACCCCTAGGGAAACTCCCTTTCAATGGATTGGCTGCTCAAATATTTACATCTGATCCCATCATTGGAAAAACCCACATTACAATTGCTGAAACCACAGAGAATTGTGGTCCAGTCAAGTTGACACACAGCTCCAACTATCACAGTTGATGATACAAAAGAGAAAAATTTACTTATGCAGCAAGGACCAGAAGCAAATTGGAGATGACAATGAAGAAAATAGGTGGATAGATTAGCATTGGATGAATTACCATTGTATTGGACTATATACCCCCATTTGTTAAACCATGAAAGAAGATAAAATCTGTTTTGTTACTTCCAAATTCTTCACAGAGGCTGGAGATGGGAGCTAAGTGTGGAAAAATAAAAAGCTTGCAGAGAAACAGAAGGTTTTACTGATCAAGAAATTACCAAGGTGCTCAACATTACCAGTAATCAGGGAGAAGCCATCCGACTCCCAGCAAATTGACAAAAGCTAACCAACTATCGCCAAACAAGAAGAAATCAGATAATCCTAAGTGCTGGCACAAGTATAGAGCTGTAGGAGAGTTCTTATAGCTTTCTGAAACATCTGCCTTGAGAGCCATTTGGTGCAATTGCAGTGAAGGGCCAGGTATGCATACGAGAACCTTTCATGCACATGCACAGGAGGATACAATCCAAATGGACAACAATAGGATATAGATTTTATTTATTTATTTATTTTAATTGTGCTTTAGGTGCAAATTTACAGAGAAGAATTTGGTTTATATTTATTTGTGCACATTTGGTTTCACTCCCCAATTACCATCCCAAACCCTAACCCATTGTCCTCCTTTCCCTTCCCAGTGACCACCCCCCCCATCCTTGTGCCCTTCTTAGTCATGCACTCTTGTCTGTCCAGATTTTCCTCCGTGTGAATGTTGCCCCTGTGGTGTCCCATGGCCAATTGCTCCAAGGGATGTATCTCCATAGAGTAGGTGGGTGCATCACCTTGGGTTGAGTGTTCTGCATGTAAGTCTTATTACTGTTGGACAAAGAGCCAGCCCTTGAAAGTCAGTTTATCCCAGGCCCGGAGTGTATCCCAGGGCCATAGTCCCACCAGACTCCATCTGACCAGTGATTCTGGTCATTACTGTGATTTTCAATTTTTTTTTTTTCACATTTTCCTCCCACTCTATCCAGGATCTCCAGTTTTGATCCCTTCCTGAGTGGTTGGCATTGGTAACCAAGCACCATCTAGTCCTTCTGGTCTCGAGGTCCATCATGTCCTAGGGCCGATTGTCTCCAAATGCCCTTGGTTTTCTTCCCTCTTTTTTGCTTCTGATGATAGGAGACAATTAGTTACGTCTCAGATAGCCACTCGGAAACTTTTAAGACCCCAGTCGCTACTCTCCAATGTAGGTTGTGGAACAAGATTTTTATGTATTTTATTGTGCCAATTGAGTATGATGTCCCCCAATACTATGTTACCGAGTCGGCAGATCTGGTGGATCTCTCTCCGATGTTGTCTGGCTGTCTATGAGGGATTGCTCTGTGTCTGTCTTCCGTTGCTTCTGTAATGATTGTGGTTATTTATATCACTAGTATCTGTGCAAGATTCTCCTCAGCTGATCTAGAGTATATTCCTGTTAACTGACCCCCCAGGATATGGATTTTAAAATGTGGCAATTTAGTTCAGGAATGGAAATGGACTAGCTATGCATGTCAGAAGCCCTGACTATGGTTAAGCACTCAATTGCTAACTGGACGGTCAGGGGTTGAACCAAACAAGGGCTCCAAGGGCAAAAGACCTAGTGATCTGCTCCCATAGAGATTACAGCATAGAAAATCTTGTGGAACAGTGCTACTCTGTCACATGGGGTCTCTATGAGTCAGAATTAAGTGGATGGCAAACAGCAACAACATGGATCTATCAAAACTGAAAACATTACTATAAAAAAAAACATTGAGGGAGGAAAACAAGTTGCAGAATGGGTATAGTAAGACATCACTGATGTAAAATTTGAAAGCATACAGAACAAGTTTATCAATCATTAATGGACCCATCTGCATATGTAAATTAATTTCAAAAACAGACACAAATTGATTGTGTCTCTAATATTTAATTTTGGAAAATGCATCTGAAGATATTCACACAATGAACACCAAACAGCAAGTAGAATAAAGGATCTACAACTGCATGCAGCAATATGGATAAATCTCACAAACCTGAGATTGAGCCAAGGAAATAAAACACTGAAGAAGACCTACTGTATGATTTATATGAAAACAAAAGAAGCAAAGCTAATATATCTAGTTAGGACTCAGAGTGGAATCCTGGGCGTGGGGGAGCTGAAACTGTACACAAGCTTACAGGGTTTTTTTTTTTGCTGTAATCTTCTGTTTCTTGAGTTGGGTGCTGGTGTCACAGGTGCTTTCAGTTAATGAAAATCACTGAACTATACAGGAGCTCTGGTGGCATAGTGACTAAGGCATTTGACTGCTAACCAGAAGGCTGGTGGTTCAAACCCACCAGCCACTCCTCAGAAGGAAGTTTGGGCAATCTGCTTCCATAGTGATAATACCTCAGAAACCCAAGGAGGGGTCCCTATGAGTTGGACCTGACTTGAAGGCAGTGAGTTTGGTTTTTGGTTTTTGGTACACTTACTAAATGTTTTCTTTATGGATGCATGTTATACTACAATGAAGACTGTAAAAATGCTATTTAAAAAAAGAAAAAAAAATTCTGAGTAAATATGGGAAATTAAAATTTATTTAATCTGGGTTGATGGATCTATAGATATTTCTATAGTGCTTCCTATGCCTGAGTTTTTTTTTTTTTTACACATTTCATTCAGAAAAATACAGACCATGACTCCAAGTCTCCCTATTTCTCACTCCAGTTTAGCACTGTTCTTTGCATATATAGTGTCAAAGTTTTGCAGTTTTACCTTTTATTTTAGAAACTTATCTGATTTCTGCCTTATCTTGCGTGGTGCCCTCACTCTATGTTGGTAACTCCATTTATCAATAATTCAGGATTTTGCAACCCTCCTTGTAGCTGTTGATATTTTAAAGCATCAAGCTTGAAGTCAAAGAAAGAAAGGCAGTTTTCTTTTCTGCTCTTAAGACTTTTCCAGAAAGGGGAGAGTAGGCTACCCAGAACCTTCAGGATGAGTTCAAAGCCCTTTAAAGAGGAACTGGCATTTCCCATGTCTTTGATCCTCAAAATAAAAACATAAGTCAAATTCAACTCTATAATATGTGCCCATGATCTCTGTCCTTTTGAAAGGCAGACTGAGTTTTATTTAGGAAATTCAGTGACAGTTAATTTGGTTTTAAATACAGTAAGTACTTGGAGGTAAGCATTGCGGTTCCAAAACCAAACCCACTGCTGCTGAGTCAATTCCAACTCTTAGTGACCCTATAGAACAGAATAGAACTCCCCATAGGTTTTCCAAGGTTTGATTCTCAGCCAGTGCTTCTCATGCACATCTACCACCTGTCCTTCAGTGGAGATTTGTGTGTTGCTGTAATGCTGAACATGTTTCAGTGGAGTTTCTAAACTAAGACAAACTAAGCAGAAAGGCCTAGCTGGGTCTCTGTGGCATAATCGGTTACTGTGTTCGGCTGTTAACTGAAAGGTTGGTGGTTCGAGCCCACCCAGGGACAGCGGTGTTCCTTTCAGGAGCTCTGGTAGTGTAGTGCTAACCAGAAGGCTCGCAGTTCTAACCCACCAGCCGCTCCTCGGAAGGAAGGTTGGGCAATCTACTTCCATAATGACACTGCCTTGGAAACCCAAGGAGGGGTTGCTATGAGTCGGGTCTGACTCGAGGACACATAACAACAACAACAATAACAACTACAAGAAAGGCCTGGTGATTCTCTGTTAAGGACTGGACCAAAAAATAAACCCAACCAACCAACCAACCAACCACACAAACAAAAAAACTATGGATCACAATGGTCCTATCCACAACTGATCAGAGGGATCGTGCAGAATTGGTTCTGTTGGACACAGGGACAACATGAGGTGGGGGCCACTTGAAGGTGGCAAAAAGCAACAAGAAATTTGGAAACTGTCTCTCTGAGAATGCAGAGAGGAAGATGTGTGTGGAAGATATTTCAGAAAACTCCAACAGTCCTCAACTCACTCTGTATAAGTAAAGAGAGACCAAAATGTCCTTTGGAGTACTCTGTGCTGTTCCTGTGTACCTGAACTCACTTTAACGTTCACTTGAGCCTAGGTTTTGGTCCGTGTCATTTTAGCACATCACACTTGATTGCAGAATGGAAGGAACACTCTGAAACAGGAGAGGCTTATCTTGAATTTTGATGTAAAGGCAGGTAGGGAACAAACCTTATAGATTTAATTCATGTATTTTGAAACTAAAGCAATGAAAAGACTGTAGATTTCCCAGTGAATTGGACATTTCTCATCAGAGAGAGTTAGCGAAGCCCAGAGATTGTTCATTCCAAGATACAACAGGATCCTAAGGGTGTATTAATATTTGCTGCCCCCTATAGTTTGCTCTTCTAAAAATTCTAAAAAATCAGGAGAGCAATTTACATCTCAAGTTGCTCTTCTTCCAGATTCAGACAGAACATTTGTGGAATTTTTATCTCTATCTCTTTGCATTGCAGCTCCACACATACTCACATCAGAGTATTGACATGAGGTGTGAGACTGAGGAATATTTCTATGAGCAGAAGTGATTTCATTTAAGTGAATAAACTGGGGAAATGATTTCCTTTTAAACAGGAAGATCATATTATATTGAGAAAACTGCTCTGATAAATATGATTTTCTTTAAAAAGGCAAAGAAAGCATCTGTTTATTAAACTACTTTCTCAATTTCCTATTACTTTCAGAATTGGTGTGAGACACAATTTCCACTCTCTCTAAGCACAACGGCTTCTAATAACATTAACTTAAAATAATATAGTACAAAAGCATGGTTTGTTCATTTTCTGAAACTAATATAAATGGTAGAATTCTTATGCAAGCTTAAAATAGCACAGGGAGCCCTAGAAATTTAACACTGGCTCAGTGATGAATGAAATTTCATTATGAAGAATCATATCTAATCACAATCTAATAACTAACTTTAGTAAAAATTTTGGAACTTGTTATCACCATGAAAAAAATGCTGGGGCAGAAGGTAATACAACCATTTACTTTAGCAACAAGTTAATGAAGAAGAGTAGGTGATCCTAAGATAACTGTCATTCCATATTCTGTGTGCCTTGAATAGTCTAAGGCTTAATTTCGTGATTCAATTGGCCTGCTATATGTAACTCCCAGAAAGATTATGGAATGGAGCAATTAATTTATACAGTGCTCATACTTCCCTCAGGAATGTATAACATCTTCTTTGGTTTCTTTGGAATCTATATTATCTATTCAGGGTTTTATTTAGTCAAAAACAGATCAGAGAGTTGATGCTTTCTATCAAACTTGTGCAGGAAAGGGATATCTTTGGTTGTTTATATATTAAGAAGCAGATTGTAGGTTAGTGCCAATTCCATGTAGTTAGTTACTAATGTTAAACAATGTCACTTTCTAGAAAAGGAAAATGAAACAAAAGAAAGGTTTCAAATGAAAATGGAACCATATATATGGATCAGTTGCTGAGTTTGAACCATCAGCCTTTCGGTTAACGGCCAAATGCCTTAACCACTACACCTTCAGAGCTCCATATGTGTATGTGTGTACCTATTAAATGAATAAGGATAAATCATATTTGTTGATGATTATTTTTTATTGAAAAACTCTCACAGTATAACCATAATATTACCTTTTGTTGAAGTAGAAGCAGAAGCATCCACCAATCAAGAAATATTTATTAAAAAGCCCATGGACTCCCTATTTTGAGCAATATAAAAGAATATTTTTGTTAGCTACTACTGAGTAAGCCACTAACAAAGATCCCACACATAATAGAACAAAATGTTGCCTGGGTCTGTACCATACTCCATGATCAGTTTGGGATTAGACCATTATGATCTATAGGGTCTCTAGAGCTTTCTTCTCTGTCCATCTTAGTCTGGAAGCTCCACTGAAACCTGGTTAGCATCATAACAACATTCAAACCCTCTACTGAGAACCAGGTGGCAGCTGTGTGTTCAATGTAATGTCCATGAATTGGACCTCAGGCTCCTTTGCAGGTGAGAATTCAACAACCAAACCACTCTTCCTCCCCAGGCCTAAAGCCTAAGATTTAGATAATCTTCTCAAGGCACATGAAGACCAACATAAATAAGTGAAAGAAAAGGACCATAAGCACTAAAGAAGTTTACAAAAGAGAGATCACTTTTTCCTTAGAATATTTGAGAAGGTGTGGCCTGAATTGGGCTGGGATTTGTTGTTGTTAGGTGCCATTGAGATGGCTCCAAATCATAGCGACCCAACATACAACAGAACGAAACCCTGCCCAGTCCTGCACCAGCCCCACAATCCCTGCAATATCTGAGACCATTGTGGCAGCCACTCTGTCAATCCATCTCGTTGAGTGCTTTCCCCTTTCTTGCTGACTCTCTATTTTGCCAAACTTGATATCCTTCTCCAAGGAATGGTCCCTTTTGACAACATGAGCAAAGTAGGTGAGATGAAGTCTGGCCATTCCTGCTTCCAAGGAGCACTCTGGCTGCACTCCTTCCAGGACAGATTTGTTCATTTTTTTGGCAGTCCATGGGACTTTCAGTGTTCTTTGCCAACACCACAAGTCAAAAGCATCAGTCCTCCTTATTCATTGTCCAACTTTCACATGCACATGAGGTGATTGAAAACATCATGGCTTGGGTTAGGCGCAGCTTAGTCTTCAAAGAGACATCCTTGCTCTTCAGCACTTTAAAGAGATCTTTTGCAGCAGATTTGCCCAGTGCAGTATGCTGCTTGATGTCTTGACTGTTGCTTTCATTGATGTTGACTGTGGAACTAAGAAATATGAAATCTTTGACAACTTCAATCTTTTCTCCATTTATCATCATGCTGCTTATTGGTCCAGTTGTGAGGATTTTTGTTTTCTTTATGTTGAGGTATAATCCATACTGCAGACTGTAGTCTTTAATCTTCATCAGTAAGTGCTTCAAGTCATCTTCACTTTCAGCAAGGAAAGTTGTGTCATCTGCATATCCCAGGTTGTTTGTGACTCTTCCTTCAATTCTGATCCCACGTTCTTGTTCCTATAGTGCAGCTTCTTGGTTATTTGTTCAGCACACAGATTAAATAAGTATGGTGAGAAGATACATCCCTGATGATCTCCCTTCCTAATTTTAAACCATGCAGTGTCCCCTTGTTCTGTTTGAAGGACAGCCTCCTCGTCTATGTACAGTTTCCTCATGAACACAATGAAGTGTTCTGGAATTCTCATACTTCTCAGTGTTATCCATAATTTGTTATGATCCACACAGTCAATCTACTATGCCAGCAATGACAAATTGAAGAGGAATGGCATGCCATTCATTGCCACAAAGAATGTTTCAAGATCTATCCTGAAGTACAATGCTGTCAGTGATAGGATAATATCTCTACACTTACACGGAAGACCAGTTACTACTACTATTATTCAAATTTACACACCAATCACCAAAGCCAAAGACAAGGAAACTGAAGATTTTTACTAACTTCTGCAGTCTGAAATTGACCAAACATGCAATCTAGATGTATTGATTATTACTGGTGATTGGAATGCAAAAGTTGATATTCTAGTTACCTAGCACTACTCTGACAAGAATATACCACAAATGGTATTAACAAACAGGAGTTTATTCTCTCACAGTTTGGAGGCTTTAAGTCCAAGTTCAAAGTGACAGCCTCTAGAGGCTGGGTGAAAGCCACTCAACATTGGGCTTCAGCTCTGCCTCTTGCTCCCAGCCCACTGAAGCTAGAGGCATCTCTTCACTCAGGCAGCTACTGGCTGCTGAGGCTAACAAGCTCAAGGTCAACAAATAAAATGGCACAGTCCTGATGTTACCAAACCACATGGCAGGCCATTAACTCAAGTCCATTGTAAGTCCCAAGGACGGCAGAGCATGGCAGGCTGCTGAACAACAACATGTCTACATGCAGAGTCTAGGCATGCCATAAGCTAGAGACCATTCCCCAAGGCTTCTGCTTATAAACAGGAAGCAGGCCACATTCCCTAAGGCAGCTACTCAGCTGCTCTCAGTAGATTCCACCATGGAGTTGATTACCAGTCTCATCATGGAGAATACTACATCCAGCTGCCCAGCCACTCAACCAGGCCCAGCCAAGTTGACACACAAACTGAACTACCTCAATTCCACTCCTTCTCATGTTGGCATCTGTACAGATCTTCATTGGGTGGCATCTGTAGAGATCTCTCTTGCTAAGTGACTCCAGTCCCCTAGTTTCTCTAAGTGGTGACCTCATCCTTGGCATGGCCCTGTTCCTCTCCCTCTTGAGCATGGCAGCCCCACCCCCTCACTCTTGGGCAGTGGCTATGGCCCCACCCCACTGACTCACATGAACGAGCAGCCCCACACTCTAGAACCAAGTTGGTGATGGCCTGGCTCTTTGAAACCTAGGGGACTGTGGTGGTTCCACCCCCCAAAGGCCATGGTCCTACCCTTTCAGGTTGAGGCAGCTCTGCTTCCATTTCCTTGGTCTCTCTGCTTCTGCTGATTAATGCCAAAGGAAACCCACTCCG